GTCCACAAATGGTGTGGCGGGGCGACAAAGGCGATTGCATGGAAGACGGAGAGCGGGATCGACGTCCTAGACATGGTGGGAGAGTAGACATTGCATCCTGCGCAGTGCTACAGTCGTCCTCAAAGTGAGAACGGGCTACATAGAAAGAGGTGTCGTCGCGGCGAGGAGTGTATCCGTCTCTGGCACGTCGATCGTCAAACCAAGTTCAAAGAGGCTGGAATGGATCACCTCGATGCCAGCAATGACGGGCAATATGTCATGTACCTCATGTACCAGTGATAACATAGTGAACCCGTATGCACTGTGTGCCATCATCTGTTTTTTTTTTTTTGGATCGGTGGACGTCTGAGCATCTCCTCTGGCATCGATGCCTATGGCATGGCGGGGGACGGCTGGTTGTATGTCTGTAGCATGGGTGGTTGATGCAGTGTCTGCTCTTGCGGCGGTGATCAAGGCACTATTCGCACTTGGTGCTACGGCATTGGCATAGCGGGTGGTGGGCATCGGAAAGCGGCAGCGTAGCTCATGGGACGCTACTCAGCATCGGGTCCAGCCGTAGACAACGCTTGGTGGATTTCGTCGCGTACAACTTCAAGGACCGGTGCATTGGAGTTTCAGGAACCGAAGTCCATACCTTCTGCAGTTTTTTGTGAACTATCTACCTAATCGAGTCTCTTAAGGAGCTCTGACTTTCAGACGTCATGGCACAAGCATTTATTGTGACATTGCTGGACATGCGGTCATATTGCTTGCAGCATTGATGAAGGTACCGCTCGATAGCAGTAGCCTTCTTATTATTAAAGTCTACCACAATACTTGGATGGTTGCCCAGTAGCCCGGCGAAAAGCTGTTCCTTAACACCGCGTATGAGGTAACTCAACTTTTTTATCTTCTGTCATGTGTGGGTTGGCTCAACAAAAGGGGCGAGTCATGTCACCGGCAAACTTTGCGACGGTTTCTTAGGGTTTTCGAACCCGTAGCTCCAATAACGTTTGAGCATTGTCCCATCGATCTGCGTTGGCGAAGGTATAGACGAACTTCTGCCAAAGGTCGGGCCAAGTTGACAGATTGGCTTCTTTATTCTCATACCAAGTGCGAGCATTGTCGTCAAAGTAGGAATAGGCGCGAAAAAGCTTTTCCTGTTCTGATCTCTGATTTATCTCGGCAACATGCTCATAGTGGTCAAGGCATTCTTCAACGTCTTCATGGGCGGCGCCACTAAAGCGATCGGAAACGAGTGGTTGAAAGAAGGTCACCTGAGATGGGTGCGTCGAAAAGCTGCTTTGGGGCACCTGTTGTGGGCTTGCGTATGCCATTAGTTCAGGTGAGCGATGCCTGGGAGATGCCAGCGACAAATTGAGCTCTGGTACGAGGCCTCGCAACTGTCGACTGAAGAAGTTGCACAGGAATTGCATTAAGGGACAATGCGTCTGGACTTGACGAACGGCTCCAGATGGCAGTGTGGAGCATCAGGCAAGGTTGTGATCCAGCACTTCCACCAGTGTCGCGGTACAATGCAAACAAATCACAGGTACACCTTAAAACAGCAAAAGCAGCATGTTCTCAACAGCTGAGCCTTTGTTTGTTTGTTTTTTTCCGTGGTAATACTGGCACATACCCAGTCTGGGAGACTAATGCTGATGCTGATGACCTGGAATGGATGGCGCGAACCCACAGAGGGGCATCGGCCAAGAACCGGGCGGCAGGATACCTATATGAAACTAAAATGAAATTAAAGCCAATCTGCAATCTAGTTTAGAGATAATATTGCGAATAAACAAAAATCTTTGCTGAGGAAGCGATCAAACCAACTCTTGTTCCTGACAGGCGTCACTACGAATTATAAACTAAAGATCTGAAAAGGTTAGGGTTCACTATCATGGTAATCTTTTAGTTGCGTTGATGTAATAAACCACATCTAGTGGAGCATATATCCCTAGGCAGTAACCAAATCAAGTACCACCAAGTGATAAAAGTACGGGTAGTTTTTACTTGTATTCCTAGCTTTTGCAATAGGGCTACTAAAAATCTTTCTCTCTGATAAGAGTAATGACAACAGAATAAAAAGAAATGTTCAATTGTTTCAATTTTGTTGCAAAAAATGCACAGCGGTGACGCCTTGAGACAAGCTTTGTTAAGGTAATAATTTAGTTTTGGAACTGTACAGCGCAGTCTGGTTTAAGTGTCATCTAACTGGCGAGATACACACCACTCTTTATTCCAGCAATACCTTAAATGCTCGAAATTTTTAAATTTATCCAAATTACCTATTCCCCATTGCAAATAAGCATTTCGGAACATTAGCGCTCTTACGTGATCCGTATCTGTTAAAACTGGGATGGTGCGCCCACTCAGCGATACTGCTGCTAAAGAGTCCGCCATTTTGTTCAAAATGGCGGAATGGCGGAATGAGCATCGAACGCGACATTCCAAGGGGAGGTTCGGATCCTGTCCACGGCAAGTTATCTTTTCACCCACTTTTCTTTATATTTACATTAATATTATATCAAATATCTTCCCCTAATCTTCCCCTATACTTTCCTTGGCATTATTGTCTGTTAGATCTCCTTAATATAGTGTAAAAACAAGGAAAAACGAGCCCTTAGGTACACACTTCTTTCCTTATTCATTAACGAGGGTCTCGTACTGGCATACTCAGTGCCTTTAGGTTGTATACGAGGGACTATTGATCAGCTGCCCACTCGTAACAAGTTCACGTGCTACGTGACGCCAAACAGGCTCAAACGAGTGTGCCACACTTGCCGCCATAGCTACTGGTGGCGCTGACTGACACTCCCACATTTAATTCACATATAAACCCTATAAAGTGGCTGGGGGGATAGCTGTCCTGGTATCTCAGTGGTAGAGCATCGAACGCGTCATTCCAAGGTCGCAGGTTTGGATCCTGCCCACGGCAAGTTATCTTTTCACCCATGTTTCTTCATATTTACATTACAATTTGGTCTAATATCTTCCCCTATCCTTTTCTTGGCATTATTGTCTGTTAGATGTCAATAATATTGTGTAAAGCACGGAAAAACGAGCCCTTAGGTACACACTTCTTTCCTTATTCATTAACGAGGGTCTTGTACTGGCAGACTCAGTGCCTTTAGGTAGTATACGAGGGACTATTGATAAGCTGCCACTCGTAACAAGTTCACGTGCTACGTGATGCCAAACAGGCTCAAACGAGTGTGCCACACTCGCCGCCATAGCTACTGGTGGCGCTGACTGACACTCCAACGTTTAATTCACATATATACCTAATAGAGTGGCTAAAAGGTTAGCCGCCATGGTAGCTGAGTGATAGAGCATCGAACGCGTTATCCGAAGGTCGCAGGTTTGGTTCCTGGCCACGGCCAGTTATCTTTCTTCCACTTTTCTTTCTTCTTATTTACATTACAGTTTCGTCTAATAACTCTCCTATACTTTATTTGGCATTATTGCCTGTTAAATTTCATTATTATTGTGTAAAACACGGCAAAACAAGCTCTTATAAATACGCTTTTTTCCTTGATATATGTATGTATATTTGAGGTTTCAAACAATTTTTTCACACAAGTAAATTCTTGGTGGTGACGTACGGTCCTTTCTGCGAATATTCCGGAGCCCCTTTATTTTTTTTTTTTTGAGATAGCAATCATATTGTCACTCTCGGCTGGATTTTGCCGCCGGCATCGTTATTGATGCCGTGCACCATATATGTATACGTATCTATATATCTGAAAAAGCAAGAAAGAAAAAAAACAGAAAAAAAGCCCTCCAGCATGCAGAATTCAACGCGGGACCTCCGCGTCTTCAAAGCCAAGCGTTATCCACTGAACCACCCCAGAGAACGTTGTGCAGCTGTCGAAGGGCAAGCTAATCATATCTACCGCTTACCGCTGCTGTGTTTTTGGCATTACCAGAAAGATGACGCAATGAGCGCACGTCGCCACATCGTGCAGCGGTGCCCGCTCTAATGTCCTACGCGTACTTTGCCCGGCTTAGAGACGGGAAGCGACGCTCCCTCGCGCGCCCTTATCTCGCGGTGGCGAGGAAGGGAGAATCGTATGCCTTGGCTGGCCTCGCGCTTTACGTGGAACGATACCGTTTTAGTTACCGGGCGCATAAAGGTCACTGCAATTATTGCAGTCTCCGTTCGCCAAAAGCGCGTGCTTTTCAGATTCAGCGAAGTAACAAATGAGACGCTTATTCACGTGCATCAGTACCTGTGAATACGTTTCGTGGGTAATTTGTGCGCGAGAAACGCGGGGCACGTTTCTATCTGCTTTTCACTCCGCGCGCGGCCGTTCAAATTGTTGTTATCGCGTTCATTGCTTCGTCTATTTGGCAAGTTCGTTATTTGTTTTTGAAAAGGCGGTCACTGTACTCACCATGATGCAATCGATTCTAACTTCACTGGCGGAAGCAAAAGCGACCCACCAGAGAACGCATCAGCCATTCACTTTAAAAACACCCTTCTCCATGACAAAACTGCTTCCCTCACACCGGGGGAGGAACACGAGCTAGCATCGATAAGCGGCTGTGTGTCAGCAGAGGATTGGCATGAAGCGCTCCATATTAATAAATAGTTTCGGCGAGTAAAACAGTGCTGGCGTTGAGGGTGTTTTGAGTGATAATGGATGCGCTGTTTTGTGCTTCGGTTTTGGTTTTACTGGCTAGGTTATCCAGGTTTCATCATTCTGCAGTACTAACGAAATGCCGCCTTTAATAATTATCAAAAAGGCTATGGCATATTCACCGCGAAAACTTTCATTCGACCCCTTATTTCTAGTGGTTGAAAAGTTAATTTTTTCGATTTTTATGATTACTGCCATAACGAATGTTTGTACTCTTCTGAAGATGCATTCTATCACACCAACAGGAACGCCGCATGTAGCACGCTGATACATCCTTCTTGTAATTGTTTCCTATAAAAAGAGGACATATTTGTTGAAACAGCCTGTCTTTATATATAACGCTTTTATTTCTGAATCTGCACTGTTTTATTATTTCAGCTATTTACTACAAGTGCATCACTGCATTCTCACTCCTGGGTAACAGTAAACGAATCCTGCAAGTTACGAAGGATGGCAACCCTGAAACACGATGCTACAAGTTTGTGTTTGGCCTACGTTTTTTAAGCATATTCTGGATATGCTTGGGTCATTCCTATGCAACAATCAACGAAAACCTAAGTAAGATTACCTGATACTATACGTACAATTTCTTTACCTTAGATAAAAATTTTTGTGTACATATTGTACTGATTGTGATTGTGGCCATGTGATACTTTATGCCTTTGACGTTTTTTTAATGATTCACTCATATAGCACACTTCTGCATAATTTGATGCAAAAATGTAGTTTTTATTTTAAGAGGCGAAATTCAGGCCCTTGATGGTGCACCTTTCTGCGAGCTGCAGTGCTATCACAATATGAAATAATACCTTCTCAAACAATAATAACACCGCCTTTCATCAGAATGAGACTTCCGTGGCCAATAATCAAACCCATCCTCTAGCTAAGCAGTGCGATACAAGAAACCTAATCAAGGTGTATAGCACGCAGCGCGAGAATCTTTGGCAATTGTACTCAAGAAAGTTTTTAATCATTTCACTAGGAGCCTTATTGACGCTGTTTTCATCCATAATCTGAATGCGAAGACAAGCGAAAAGTGATCGAAAACAGTTGAACCGCATATCAAGTAAGTGCATGTCAAGTAGGCGAGTTGCAGCGGGCATGAAAGAATACCTGCCGTGAAGTCACCCACGGATGTTGGTGACACCCCACAGAACTTAGGGGTGGGGGCAATAGAACAACACGTAGGATGATTTCAGTGCAGTCAGCTGAAACAATCACTCGTGGGAAAATGCTAACTCTCACACCGAAAAGTAGAATAACTAGCGGCTAAATCCAACAGGAAAGCCTTTTTCATACCAGCTTGCTCGCTACCAAACTATGTCCTTTATCTTTTACACCATAATGGCTTGTCACGGAACAACCAGATGTTGAAGCATTAAAATATAACGTCGAAGTCGTGTGCAGCACATCAGTAAGACATGTAGCTAATTTCATAACTTCTATGAAGCAGGTGATGCTTGCACAATTTTTGTTGCAATACTAGGGTTTAGTTCTTAGGATAATTTAGAAGAAATCGAGGTGAACGTTTTTTTTAAACCGTTTCTAGAGGCAAGTATTTTTACAAAATTAAGAGCAAGTGCTTAAGAAAGAAACAATATTGTAGTTAAAAATCTACTTTTCTTGCATTTCCAGAGCTTCAAGTATATTTTTAAATGTGAGAACGGTAAGACGCTGGCATAATAGGATGCAGCCTCTTACCTATCACGTGCCTTTCCTCTAGTCTCATTTTCAAAATTTTTTGAAGGCACTGGAAATGCACTATATTACCAAGTATTTCGCAGAGATTTTAGCAGTTGGTGTGACTAGTCAGTTTGTGCCTGGAAAGTAAGTGAACAAATTACTACGCTTTTTTACGCAAAGTAGGCAAATTCTCCAGAAACGTGGAGTAAGTATACAAAGATACAAACACATAAGTTAATTCGCTGAGCAGTATTCATGATTTTGACTTTCACATATAGGCTTTTATTAAATAAAGATTTGAAAGCATACACTTTAATGCGACTCGGTTTTTAGGCGCATCCGTGTAAGCCTTTCAGTTTCATTGAAGAAAAGACATACGTACTAGAGAGTTTGCTTTAGAAAACTTGTAGTAAGTCTGACCTTTAAAATTGTTGCTTTTTTAAGACATTTGTAAGAGGACAGCACTAACTAGTAATACGTTGTCGCTGGAATCAGCTACAAAATGAAACAAATGACATGAAAATACTAGGACCTAACAAAACACATTTTGGATGATTCGATATTTCAAAGGGCACCAATACATAACATTGTGTGCCAGATTATGAGAGCTCTGTCAACCTATTTGTAAAAAGAACGCATGTTTTTTTTCAGCAAGGCTCGCTAACGCCGTGTTCATATTCGAAAGCTGGGAGTCACCAATCATATCAGCAGGCTTCATGGCTGTGGACACGTTTTTCTTCATGAGGCAAGCTCAACGTATTTTTAACTACCAGTACCCATAAATGCTAATATTTCTTTCAGCTTTAGTGAATATCAGGCTACCATTTACTATAAGTTTTAACATAGGTTTCACGGTCTCAAATGAGCCGTCGCTCTCAGAATACACGGACACAGCCGACGTGGTCAGGCAGACCAAACATCGTTTAAATATAGTCATCCGTCGACGATATTGCCAGACTAATTGAATACGTCACTAGTGACATTCTGAATAAGCTTATGCAATATTAGAATGCACTCAAACAACACAACAACAAACACAAAGTAACGTGAATGTGGCGTCACCGATCTATGGCTCAGCTGGAATACACGTACAGGAAATGATCCGCTGTTGCCCGCTCCCGCAGATCCCTCTTAGGAGACGTCCAACCCACTCTTCTCTCCAACGCCTATGACAGCCATTACTGCATTGTGCGGGGCCACCCAGCCTCACTGCCGGGTGCATACCACGCTAACCATAATGTTGGTGAACCCGAGCCACCACTGAGCTATATACCTCTTTTAGGCCGATTTCTGGCCTTTACGTGAGACGCTTGTGCGCCAAGAGGCACAAACTAGTTTACAGAAAGTGATTGCCCCTCCCTCCCTCCCTGAAAAGTTTATTAAAATTGGTGTTTTTCTGCTTACCAGTTGGTCAAGCTGTCAAGTTGTAACTTGTGTCATATCCTATGAGCTTAACAAATGTATATATTACTTAGCGCCATTATACCTTTTGTCAACTCTTCTTTTCTTCCAGTGGATATCTTCTGTACTTCACTCTTAAGAAGCAAAAACAGAATCGTGCCATCGTTGCGGTCATTGCTCTTGTTAGGCGGTTTATCAGGTGAGGTTGGCAAAAGTTATTGCATGTTTTGCACACTTTTTTTCCTTACTTTGAAGTTACCCAAACAGAAAGTGCTGAAACTGAGTGAATAAGTGGAGTGGTGGATGCACTATTTTGCAGTTCAGTAGGTAATTTTAACGTGGGCAACTGCACCCTTTTCATGTTATATTCTAGACATTTGCTTTATTTGTGTGTTCTGGAGATATTAAAGCATTTCAGGAAAGCACTTGCGCCCCACGACAGTTTGAAGAAGCTTATATCAGTTTGTCCAAATGCATAATGAACATTAGTTTCACCATAAATATAATTTTTTCAAGGAATATCACTAACAGTGGTTTTTACTAAGTACACTATAGTTTGTATGCGGCATTTATATTATAGCTCGTGAATTGGCGAGGCATACCCACTTAAAAAGATAAGAAGGGTTATTTGTAACAAGTACAGTGATTATCGCTGCACCTAAACATGACCCGGCAATTCCAGTTTTTCAAATCTTTTAACCTCTAGAATTAAATTTTATTTTTGGCTGCTTGAAGCAAGAAAAGTACGACCACTACAGACGCTTATCTTGAGAAAGTAGCTTTAATTACAAAACTACAATTATTATTTTTTACGCCCCTCTACTCTTAATTTTTGCCAGCAACTGTGTCACTAAACGGTTTCAAAACATCGGCAATCCTGGGCGCACACATCAAACTCCATTGCTGCATGGTTGAGGAGACCATATGCATGTTGTGCTCGAGTGGAAAAACTGCAGACAAGGCCACACAAAAACCGATTGACTGAACGAATTGGAAATGTGCCCTCGCGTCAGCGCTTGGTTTCAGCGGACACAAGGCTCCGCTTGACTGGGGAGCAGTGTAAACAAATAAAAACGGTGGCTCGACCAATGGTGGCTCACAAAAAAAAATCAGGCAAGTGACCACACAAAGGAGCTCAAATAGGACGTTTTTTTAACTTTATAATTAGTTCCTGTTCAAAAGTTCTTTAAAGATCTGATCTGAGCAATGCTTTTCGATCGCCCGATTGAAAGAGCATGATCATCATAATCATCATCATCAACATACTGTCCTTTTACTACGGAGATGACATGTCGCACCGCTTGATAATGATTTATTTATATGTGGGCTTAGCGTGCCAAAACCACCATATGAATATAAGAGATGCCGTAGTGGAAGGCTTCGGAAATTTGCAAATCCCCGAGACCCCGCTTCTCCTCGAAAGGTGAAGCTACAACCCGTTTAGGTTTTAACTTCCAGCCCATACAGCAAATACCACGCTGCTTTAGAACTCTACAAATCTACAATGGCTTCAAAAATTTCCCACGTGCCTCGTTGCAGGCACGGAAAGCCTTTGCAAAAGTTGTGGAGTCAAGGTGACAATGGCATTTCCTCTTTCGTGCGTTTTGCTAGCGCCGAACCAGTCCTGGGACACTTCTTTCACTGTTGACAGAGAGGACATCAGCCCTTCTCAACGGCTCACCCTTGCTTGGTGTGCGTCTAAATCTTTTCGTCCAGTTTCAACCGCCGAAAGAACTTCTATAAGGACGACGGTAGTAACTCTACTAAATAAAGCATTTGTGAGATATACGCTAATGTACTGGGCTAGTGAAAGTCATCTTTCACGGAAAAATACAAGGGGTAGATATGCCGGCCGACTAAAGTTTACATAAGCGTGAACTACTAATCTATAAGACTCGGACGCTGGGAAAATGCAGGAGCCCAATGGGTGGTGCACATGTGATTGCTTCATGCTTTTCACACTGATGTACGAGCTTTGTCACGTACTAACATGAAATTCTTGTTATTCGACCAGGGAGAAGCAAGGCTTCTCGACAAAAGGCTGTGATTAAGTGTTGACGATTTGAAGTTTTTCTGCATGCTGCGTAAGGCAGTGTGTACGTATATTGAGACACTACAAATAATTTTTGTTCGCCGCAAATCGAGGCGACGAATGTGGCAGCAAGAAATTAAAATGTTATGCACAGTAAATCTAGCAGATATGCTTCTTGGAGCCAATCTCGTGCAACTCCACAACTTCTGCTTGGTTTTCACTGACGGCATAGTTATAATGCTTAATAAACGGTGTTTTGCGAACAAAACAAACCATAAACAATTCCGCCTTGCTTTCTCCTGTAAAAATAACCAGAATAGCCGCTCTACAGTTGAGCATGGTCCTTTTATAAGGTAGTGACAAAGTAATCATGTTGTATGATGAATTTGCCCCGCCATGGTGGTCTAGTGGCTAAGGTACTCGGCTGCTGACCCGCAGGTCGAGGGATCAAATCTCGGCTGCTGCGGCTGCATTTTCGATGAAGGAGTAAATGCTGTAGGCCCGTGTGCTCGAATTTGGGTGCACGCTAAAGAACCTCAGGTTGTCAAAATTTCCGAAGCCCTCCACAACGGCGTCTCTCTTGAACATATGATGGTTTTGAGACGTTAAACCCCCGATATCACCATATAATCATCGTATAATAAATTTCGGCCACCAAGGTATACAGCTTTGAATATTACATAGTGCGCTCTATAAAGCTGATTTGAAGCAGAATTTTTCAACTCTAATTAGCTGAAGTGTGACCATTTAATGCATGACTCCAAGGAAAATAGACTGAATTTACCAGATGATCTGCCCAGTCGCGGGTTTCCGACAATGGCGCTGCCACCATCTCAGCAGAGTACTCGGGGTGTGGCTAGGGCGGCTGCTTGTTGTGTGATTAAAGTATCTTGGAGTTAGGCAATATCCTAGGTGCACAATACAATTCAACATGGTGAAAACTTGTGTCCAAACCTCCAGTGCATCTTACTGCATTTCAAGTTGCACTGCATATCTTTGAGTTAAAACAAGAGAGCAGTCGACTGTGCTTACTTGTGGCCAGGTCATTTCGGCGTGTTGATGCGCTTGTAGCGCTTCGATGAATCTATAGTATTTAATAAACAACAAGAATTCAGTCTGTGTCATCATGCGAACAAAAATCATCTTTAGTGAACGTGAGCAATGCAAGTTAATTATGCGGAAAAGAGCTTCCCCATTTCCGCAATTCAAAGCCTTGAAAACACAAACCGATGGGATGAAAAAAAAAAGCCACTTTTGCACACCTCCTTCGTTCAAGCAACACATCATGTACACTGTTATGTCAATGCATTTTTTCGATTATAGTGTTGCGTTAAACGTGATTGATTATTTATTTATTTATTTATTTATTTATTTATTTATTTGTTTACCCTCAGGGTCAAGAGACATTATAGAAAGGAGTGGTAAAAACAACAAAACAAGTTTGTAAGTACAAGAGGCAATGCAAGGTTTTGGTTATACAACAGCAGATTGAAACAAAAAAAAGAAAGAAATGAGAAATATCAAAATGGCATATAACGAAATAGAAAGATACATTCTTATAAAAAGGATAAAAATAACGTTTCTAAGTATACAATGAGCATTGTCACACTTCAGTGCAACAGGTACAACAAATACAAAAGGTAACAGTGAAATCTTATTTTTAGAAATGTATAAGGTGAAATACTACGACCAGGTATTCAAAGAACTGGTTAATACAGTCACAAATGCGTCATGATCTGAAATTGTTACGAACGATTCGGGAAGGCAATTCCAATCGTGAGAAGTGCATGGTACGTATGATTGTCGAAATGACTCTGTTTGAGACGATGGGATGCCAAATTTATGAGCGTGATCTAAACGACGAGAAACATAAGGCGGCGGAAGGATTAGTAAATCACGGAAGTATGAGTGGTGATATACTTTATAGAAAAAGGTTAAGCGGATCGTAGTACGACGAGAAGCAAGTGAACGTAATTTAAGGGTAGATTTCATTAGTGTAATGCTCGTGTTTCGATCGTAATTAGCTGTTATGAAGCGGACAGTGTTATTTTGTACCATTTCTAATGAATGCACCAAATTGTGGTGGTATGGATCCCAATCAGATGCGGCATATTCAAGTTTAGTACGAACTAGTGTTTTATAAAACATCAGCTTGACAGAAGGTGATTTGATGAAATTACGACGAAGATATCCGAGCATGCGATTAGCGTTACAAACAGCATATTTAATATGAGTATTCCATGTTAGGTTGTTACTAATATGAACTCCGAGGTACTTGTATGAGGTGATGCTGTCTAATTGTGTGTTATGTA